GTAGTTTATGGACAAAACCGTACCATCAAACCTAGCTTGACGAGCATGGAAGTCAGCTTTTTCATTGATACTAAAACCGCAGTGACCTGGGATCCACATGATGTGGCATTTTTCAATACTTGGGTCTTTTAAAAGGTTGTAAATATCGAAGACGTACATATTGTATGGGTCTTTGTTCTTGATTAAAGTCAGAGCCGATTTGCTGTCAGAGAAAACTACAAATTTTTTCAGTTTATTTTCAGATGCAAGGAGGATCGCCTGTCTGATGGCTAGAAGTTCAATGAACGTAGATAATAGTTCTTGTAGAACTTTGAATTTTCGTAAAAGTAAATTTGGGTATTCTATAATTGAGAAACTAGAAATGTCCGAATTGACAGATCCATCCGTTGCGTATATTTTGAAGTTATTTTCGACGAAGTGGTTAAATTTTTGCAGACAAACAATTCGAAGACAAGACCTTGACCGATTTTTTTTTGAATTGGTGATCGAATTAATTCCGCTACGCACTTATCATGAATGATATTATTCCAAGAGGGTATTGTGTTAACTTTATTGAAGATGTTACTGAATTTTTTGAAGCAGTTAGAGTAACTATTGATGCCGTAATTGTGCTTGGAAGCGACTTTGTCAAAGAAGGCAGGTTTAAAGATGGAGAAGTTCTTTTGCAGTTACAAGAAAAATCCTCTTAGCTACAGGGAGTTCATATGAGACGGAACGTAAAATTGATGTTGGTGTTGAGCGGGATAATCCGGTACAACGTCTTAGGATTGAGTGTTGAAAGGTTTGTATTTTTTTTAGACAAACTTTCTTAATTACGATTCCAAAGACAGACCCACGGCCATTGCTATATAGATTTTGATATATATGCTAATCAAGAATTTATAAACTTTGCAATCCCTTCGGTATGCATTTCTATTTGTTATAAATTTTTGACTCTTCGATTTAATACAATAAACAACAATTTGACCTTACGCACGGACTCACAAAGAAGAGTCCCCAACCGCAACAGCATAGACGTAAGACAGATCACAAACGCATCACTTGCGTTTTGTTTTAGCAAATTTCGCGAACCATTCCAACATTTTTTGTTTGTTGTTGGCATCTTGCATTAATAACTGCTTGATAAGCGTAAACAAAGAGTTTTGATGATTAGCCATGCATTCCCATAAAGATGGATCGGTATGTCTCGAATCTAAAGCAAAATCGCCAGAGAATTCATAAGGACCGTTCTGATTCTTCGGTAAAACCGATATGGAAAATAACTGCGCGGTTAAGCTGTCTATATAAACAGCACCTATAGTTTATTTATGCACAAAAACGATTTTTAATATTGTTTTAGAAAATATTCCACAATTTTTATTATTCCAATAACTTACCATTTGCATTGGAATTGGGTGTGGTGAAGTCAATTAGTGTTTCATCCATCTGAGAGGTACGTTTCTGCTTCACAAAGAAATTGAGAAGCAAAAAAACTTTTTTCTTTAAAGTTACAAGATTTGCTTGCCTTATTTCTGTTTGCATCCTCCCCAACAATGGATAAAGCTAAGGGCAAGCGTAATCATGAATATGTCTTACGGCACGTACTAAGCTTTGATTTACCGCTTTCATGCAAAGATTTTCGTAATACTCGTTACCCGAAGCAGAGCCCAAAGTACTATCCAGGTATCTAAGACGTTCTTGCATTTCGGGTGTCGTACGTAACACCTATTCAATCAAAAATTGGACAACTTTCTGAACTCAATTTTTCAGACCGAAAAAAAGCCAAGGCTTTCCTTGTTTCTAATTTACATAAAATGTTTTCCTCATCAACACTACGAAATTTATGACTTTAAGTGATTTAAGAATAAGAATGAAAAGATTTGTCGGAGTTGTAAGATTGTAAGATATGACAAATTTTCGCAAAACTTTAGAGCGTCTTCAAGACTTTGATTGAAATAATAAATACAATGTTTTTTTTCAAGGATTTATGTCCCGTTAGCTTTTACACACGCTGCACCAAGGCCATTATTTCGGAAAAAGCCACGAGCCAATGTCTTTGATCAAAAGGATATATTTAAAACCAGATTAACGGCAAAAATTCTCATACGATTCATCTTGAATATTAATTAAAATAGGGCCATCTTCGGCTTTTTCAATAAGCGCCTCTAGAAAGGTGATCAAAAATCGTGTGGGGTAAGACGTAAGAAGGTTTTTTTGCTCTTGCGATACTTTGACCTCAAGAACTTCATCTTCCTGAGTGAGAGCGCGTGATTCTAAGGTCTTCTTATTTCCTTCAAGTTGCTGTTGTTTTTCTAATCGTTTTAAGATATCTACAGTGGAGCTTTCAGGGAATTGATTTCTTTTAGGTTGTGGTGCTGCTCAAATTTCTTGATGATGTGAAAGTATAGCATCAACTGATTTGAAGAAAAGAATTTAAATTATATCATTTTTCCCTCCGCCATATGCACAGAGTTGTTTTCAATAAATTCAAATACCCCACGATGAAAGAACACCTGTAACATAAAAATTGAGCTCGACAGGTCTCTGAAAGTGAGTAAAAACCGTTCGACAGTCCATCACGGTGAGCAAAAATCAATCGACAGGTCTTTGAAAGTGAGCAAAGTCAACCAGTGTGTGAAAATGACCAAAATCAATCCACTCTTGTCTGAAAATGAGCAATATATATATATTTTTTTAATAAAAGTGAAAGGGTTTAACAGTCCAATATTATCCAATGGATAACATAAAAACTTTAATTCTGTTTCCTTTTTCTATGTTAAAGTCTTTCAAGATCCTGCGATTTAAAATCCGAGGATTCGCAACATTTCTTGGAAGCGTAAAACTAGGCCCTTAGCGGGGAATCATATTGTGAACTTTACGAGTCTTCTCTTTCGTTGCCAGCATTAATTTCAACAATTTTCTAAGTAAATACAAGACTAAAAGTCATTCATCAAATTCAAATTTGTATATAGGGTTTTTTTAATTGGAACGTTTGAAAGACCACTGGGAATTATGTGAATAACTAATATGAAACTTCGGCCAAGAAGGCGTTCTTGCTTTTCAATATCATGCTATTTTTATATCCTACACTACTTTTGTGAACAAACTTTGCCCAAAAGAATTTATGATAAATAGCTTCTATTTTACCGATAGATCCAGAAATATTTTCGGAATCGATTTAAATTTTTGTTTTCATCTGTCTGTCTTTCTTGGTTTCTTATGTTGAACTTACAGGTCGTCATCCTTGAAATATTTTGAGGAAATACAGCACACTGCTATTTTTGCTCCAAGGACGAACTGTACTGAAAATAAACCGTGTGTTGTTGATTTGCTAACTCACAGAAGAAGAGGAAAATACTGAGTAGGAATGCCCTGTTTTATTTTGAATCATGTCGAAAAAAAAGCATTTACGCATAGAATAAATGATAAGCATCGACGTCTTCTAAAAAGTGTATTTGGTCACTTAAAAGGTTGAAGGCAGATGTTTTTATACGACATCAAAATTTTATCACGAATTGGGCCTGTTTGCTTTAGCTTTCGGTGCGTTGACAATACATCTTGGTCTTTTCGATATATACGTAAATAATTCTATATACAGCGTATGGCAAGGAATTCGTGCAAATTTATAATATTTGAGATTGTTGCAAATGTTTCGTATGCTTGTGTAAACGTGATATTGAAAAAATGATTTTACGACCATTTTTCTCTCGTTTTGCAACGTCATCGATACGTAATATTATGCGACGATTTCCACGCCTTGTATACTGTAAAAAACGCGTAGTTTGTAGTTTGTGGTTCGTTTTAGCAAGACGAACTCACGCCGTACAAGATTAAGAAGATAAGCGAATTTCTGTGGACCATTTACGGAAATGCAGATATTCTGCGGTCAAGGCGACACGCACATTTTACGGCACAAGCGTTTTATCTCTTCATAGGCGCGTAAAGAACCAGCTTATGCAACGAGTCGAAGAGCAAAAGTAGTTCAAATACAATATTCAAGTGAAACTTTAAGCAATAAATTCGGTAACTTTAACAGTATAATAACAAACGTTGAGGGTTTGCTGCTATACAACTAAATAATTATGCTGTTTTGAAATCTGTTCGTGATTTATGTCTCACCCTGTATATTTGAAAATTGTAAACGTTTGTATTTTTTATTTTCGTCTTATATACAAAATATGCATGCGCTTTGCAAGTAAATCAAAATTGCCTTAGAAAGAAAGAGAGCAATCGTATTGAAGTTCATTGTTTTAATGTGTTAATTCAGCGTTTCTAAATTTGTATTTGATGCAATTATTTACAATATTAAACATTGATATCCTCTTTTTTTATTTTAAGATTGATTTTATATAGTACGCTCAATATTCGTCTACGTTTACATAGTACTTTATTTTACCTGGGCAGAAAGTGGCTATTAAAGTTTTTTAAAATCTACGAACTTTGCATATAAATTTTTGCGATAAGTTTATGGGATTTCCATATGTGGAATACGTTGTCGTGGACAGACGGCGAATTTAGTAACTGTTTATTAATGTATTAAAAAGTCTGTAGTCGGTAGTGGTCCTTTGAGTTTTAAAAATATCTTTAACGACCTTTCCGCCTGTAAAATATTTGATGAAAATTGCGAATTTTATTTTTGAATCTCGCCAAAGAACGTATCGCGCGGAAGAAAGAAAATAAAAGAAGAAACTGGTATGGAAGATATCGAAAAAAGAAACTAATGTTGGTAATTGAAAAGGAATTTTCCTACTACTTTCGCTGAAGAAGTATATTTTTTAAAGTAAATTTCAAATATTATGGAAATCGAAATGTGCTGATTACTAAAAAAAAAATATAAATATATATGTTTTAATTCATATTAACTCTTCTTAGGGGTGGTTTCAACTCAGTATTTGGCTGTTTAAATGGTTGTGAACGGTTGAGAAAAAGCGTGTAATAAAGAGTATGCTGTGAGCAGCGTAGAATTAATCTAAATATACTAAATCTTACTAACAAGAGCTATATGAAAATAATGGAGACGCTATGCATGTATTTCTATTTTTATTTATGGCTGTAATTGGAAATGTTTGGGAGAGTATTTGTAACTCAACACATACACAGCCTGAAAAGTGTGTGAGAGTGTACATGTGCATTTGCGCCTGCATTTGCGAAGAATTAAAATAAGAACGGCGACAATTTCAAAGGAATATGTGGAAAAATCGAAGTTTGAAAAAAATGATTGCTATACACATGTATAGAAAGGAAATTTATGGAAATTATCCAAAAGTGATACTAATGTGAAAATAGAAAAAATTCAATATATCATATTATACGCATTACGGAATACGTGTTTATACAAACAAATTTGAAAACCTTCGGTTAGTTTTGTTTATGTGTAAATCAGGCTTAACGAAAATTTTCCAAAGGGAAATATCGCATCATATATTTTCTTAATAATATAAAGACTTACCTTTATCTACGTAAGGAAAACTTTAACAAATAAGTGGAGGCGAGATGTTTATATTTCAGTTTCTTTTGCTGTTCTACACAATTGTAGCAGCTTCATCACCAGCCACTTGCAGCAACGCGTCCGTGTATTTTAGTGGCTCTGATTTCATTTCAAGCCCTTCCATTTACTCGTACACCATAGAAAGCCAAACACCATTTAAAAAAAATTATACTCAGAAATTACATGATTATAACGAGCAATGGCGTACCGTACAGCACTATAATAATCCATATCGCAACAATAGACCAAATGTAAATAAAAATCGTCATTCATCTATAACGCCAATTATTCCGTTGGTTACAACAGGGAGAACGACGTCAGCGCGGCCAGAAGAAATTAATAACTGTGGTTTGGACGGACTAGCTGTTTATAAAATAGTGTTACAAACCTATTGGACAAGGGAACTATTTCCAAAACATTATCCAGATTGGAGACCAACCGCGCAATGGACAAAAACTGTTGGTGAGTGCAGCGATCAATATGAAATAATAATTTACAGAAAATACTACCTTGAGCGATACAACATAACTAGGGATCTATATTTAGAAATTTCTCTTTAGCTTAATACTTGCAATAATCAGATTTGAAATTTTTTTTTACCCCTTTGGGAAACATATGTGAATAAACCAATATGGATTTTGTCCCAAATGAGACTAAGAGCCGATAAATATTATCAGTTGAAATGTTATGAAAGTTATGAAAAAACTAAATCTATAGAATGCTTGCAAAATACTACATAAATGAACATCTTATTTTTTTTTCTTTTACATCACATTGTATATAACATTATTATTACTCATACGCCAGATTCTTTCCCTGAACGGAATTGACAAAGTATTTCTCGCTAACATAGCTTTCTAGGCTGTAGGCAGGTGCTTTCCACAGAGTGGGTTCAAATTGAATAGAAATTTTGTCTTCGTTCATGCAGGTCAAGCGTACGAAGACTTCCAATTATAAGTACTTACTTTGCAGTGCTCTATGATCTTTGCAAAAATTTGCAATTAAAAGTGACACAAAAAGAAATGTTTAAAAAAATGAAAAATAGTTTTGGGAAAAAGATGTTTGAGATGCAGTTTGACATTTAAGAAGGCGTTCGCTAAATCATGGAAGAGTTCTACTTATTCACACATTTTCTAGTTTGGCCGCACTAGAGTGTCAAATTTGCATGTTTTCCCATAGCCATGGTAACATAGCATATTTCAAAAAATCGGTAAAAATAGTTCCTGAAAGCAAAGTGTGAATTTTTATTGCCCATTCGACAGGTACTTTTATATAGATTCACGTGATATAGGTGAATATACGCGACATTTTCTAGTTTGGCCGCACTAGAGTCTCAAATTTGGGTGTTTTTCCATATGCATTTTTCGCTAACATACCAAATTTCAAAACACCGTTAAAAATAGTTCCCATAAGCAGAATTTGAATTTGTTTAGTTTGTTTGAAAGGTAGTTTTACATGTATTTATGAAATGTCCACAAAAATATTTTCTTTCTTTTAATATGGACGGACTAGGCTTTCAAACCAACTATATCTTAATTGTAAATATTTAACATGAGCTCTGTTGAGTCGTTAACAGAGGAATGTTAACAGAAATGGTAGGTGTCTTTACTAGCTAAATTCGAATTTATCTCACACCCTTAATAATTAATTGGTATCAACTTACAAAAAGTCACTATATAATTATAACTATAATTTAAATTAGTTAATCAGTTAAGACTTAACCTACAAGTAAATTGTTTTATGTATATAAACCAAACAAAATAACTGACCCAAAAATATCCTGCGAATGCACTTGTAGCGATGTCTGGTAGTGCAGTAGAATTAATTTTAAAATAAAAATTTATTGCTTATAAACAATTTCACCGGTTTGAAAAACCGGGGATTTGCGGCGTCTTCTAATCTTGACGCTAACGACTAGATATTGGCGTATTTATTTTTATTTGTCGAAGGTTTCATTGATAATGTTGAAAAACAAAGGTCCTTTTCTCTATAAGTAATCAAAAATTTTTTTTCTTTACGCTCATATAATTTGTTTGCAAATGTCCCTCATAACAATTACATAAACCTACCTGCAGAACGACGTGACCGAAAGTATGCAAACACAAACTGTAGTAATCTTATAAATGTTTTTCTTTTTACAATTTCTTTCCGTCAGACTCCTTATAGGAATTTGGCTGGAGTTAGCTAGTTTTCGCCTTCTCATATGTCGACAAAAATTTTTTTTCCACAATCTTCTGTTTACATTTAAAACAACTTATACTTCGTTTTATTTCCGAAAGACAATAACACCTATCTCCCACATTTGAAAAACCAATTCTGTGTCTCCAACTTTTTCGTTCGCCCCTCTAGCTAATTTGATCTTCACACGCTGTTGCTTATGAAATTCCAGGGTTTTGTCCAAAGTGACGCCCACGTATTTGATACCATTTAAGTAATTGAGTGCAACTTCATATAAGTAGACGTTTTGCAATAGTTTTTCTTTCGGTTACTCGGTTATGCGCAGCGTTTTTTACGAGTGTTCAGTTAGCGCGCCGCAGAAATTTCCAAAACATCTGCATAGCCACAGTGTTTTGAATCCGTGATTTTGAAAAGAAACAAATTAGGGTTAATGGATCCGTATGACTTTGACGAATGATCATATTGGCTTGTGCTTTTGGTGTAAAGATCATTTTAGGTTTATTCCATCCCGGTATATTTGTATCTTTAGAAAGCTAACTTAGTAAAGACCATCTGGTTTGAGGGGAACAAACATTCTGCACCCTGTAGCATTAAAATTAGACTTATTTCATCTTTCCGTATGTGACATTTTGCTGGCAAAACTGCGGTCCCTAGAGGACGCCGTATACGTTTCCATTCAATACACACACGCAGCGGGCCTAGTATTCCACAGGCATCCACGAAATTGCGTCCCCAACGAAACCTGGCCAGTTTCATTTGAACTGCTTGGTTAGTCTCCGTTTACTTTACATAGAATGACAGATACAATCTCAGCTAAGAAAGAAGTGAAATCGTTGACTACAATGCATTGTTTAAGATTTGAGCTTACAAGCATAACTAAAGATTTGGTATTTATTGTATAGTTTATTAATAAGTTTAGTATACGGGGATGTCTATCAAAAACTTTTGCTAGATCAGAACACAATTCGTTCCATCATTATGATAATCCCTAATCAGTTTAGGGAAAAGAGCTAAAAGTTTGTGGTGCCCCATCCTGATCGAAACCCAACTGGGCATCTTGCACCTTTATCAAAGTACCAATCGGTGTGTTCTTTAATGATATGCTCAATTACTCTGGAAAGGCAGACTAGCATACTAATCAGTCGAAGGCTATTGTGTATAAGGGATAAGTCGTCACGAAATTTAGATTTCATTTGTTTTGTGTTAGCAACATGTAATAAATGATTTGATATGTAAGGAACGATGCATATTCCGTCGACACCAACTGAGATATATGTCACTTTGCAAATGGCATTAAATAAGAGGCTTCTGCAATGGAGATGAATAATCTCTATCGCTGAAGTTATGGGAACAGGTTGCAAATTACGGGCATTTAGTGATTTTGTGTGTAGCTCAATAGAATAATCCACCTCCCAACGTACCTTTACTAGGGAGCATGACGCCTATTTGCTTAGCGGTGGATCTTTCAAAAAATTTAATGCAGTCCAGATTCAATACTTTTTTTAACAAATAGTTCAAACGATTACGCAACTTACAACAAATTCGCCAATCAAATGTATCAAGAGATCAGAGAGGTTGTTTATAAGCAATATTTACAAGCGGATCTTTTTACAAAATGTACCGTGAATGGGCTCAGCTGGGGATCCATTAGCATGTGAACATTTTAAATGAGAATCCTACGTAAGGATAATTTTGTCAACCTGTTGCTCCTCGAATTTTATATCAAACGTTAATTTTTCTTTGGCTTCCTGGCAATTTGATTGGGATTGAACATGTCATACTTTATAAAAATTGTAAGAGGAGGAAGAATTGACTTAAATCCAATATATTATCCTAATTGTGCAGATTACCAACTTGACGTTCTAAATAGGATACTGCCAATAATCTAATGCTTAATCCTCATTCTAAATGTTGTTGCTGCTGAACATTAAAATGGATCGTTAAACAGCCAAACTGGACAGAGTGATGATCGTTTAAACATATGTCTTGTGCTTTAAAAGATTTAGCTGGTTGGACTAAATCGCAGTTAAAATCTTCTTTGTTATAATATTGTGGTCAATAGCAAGTAAGTCGCTACGCCTTCTTACAGAAGAGATTTATATGTGCAATACCAAGATTAAAGCTATCATACTTCAAGGAGCTGCCAAAAACATTTTTTGCTTTGTTATTGGCACATGATTCAAATCTGGTAAGATAGAATATAGGCTAGTAATAAAGCAAGACGCCCATTACACAAATTTGAAGTAAAAATACGAGAAAGTCGTAAATAGATCGCTGTAAACATTTAACCAAATAGGATTGAATTATATAAATTTGTGAATATTACAATTCCCTATATAATATATTTAAAAGTTCACGTCAGCTTTATGTTGCCAATAGTAGAATACAAGTTGCATACGATAGTCAACTACTATAAATTTAAAAATAAAATGAGATGCTAATAAGAACGATAGAAAATATATAGGTGAACCATCGGATTTCGTCTTACTTGTTTACAAAATGTCATAACCATAGTAAATAAGTGGAACTTACACAGCTATAAGAGATAATTTCCCAGAATCTCGTAAAAGTGTAATGATAAGTATGAAAAATTTAATTGAAACCTGGAAGAAAAATTTAATGTAGTTACACAAAAATTTTTCTATTACTTCAATATATCCCTAGGTGAAATAAGGCAGTGTTCAAAAATTAAATCATAAAACTCTATAAATGGATTTGCTTGACAGTGATAACGGAACGGTATGAAAATTCGATGGTCATGGTGTCTGTAAGGAGACCCAGATTATTGAATGTAATTAACAGCCTATGCTTTTTAAATTTCTTGTTTCTCCCTTTTCTAATTCCTAAATGACGACAGGAGACGTGCGTTATAGCAAAAGCATTACCATCGCGGAAGTAAACGCTGATAAACAGAAATCAGGGAGTATAAATTTTAAGAGATAGAAGTTTTAAGGTCCAACTGTTTCTCAAAGAGAAAACTTTTTTAAAAGAATATCAATTCAATATTTTGCTTTATTAATACTACTAAGCTTATTATCTAATATCCATTTATTTAAATTAGAGCCGATAGCCTATGTTGCTAGTGCTCAATGTCTTTTTTTTAGTCTAAGAATTCAATTCATTAGTCTAAAATTAAAATAATACTAATAATAATAATAATAAAAGAAATTTGACAGAGTTGGTCTTCATGTTATCTTAAGGCTCTTGAAATCATGGAATGTTGGACCCAAATTCTTCAACTACATCAAATCATTCATGTCGCATCGGCGGTTCAAAGTTAGAAT